TTTTCATTTATATATAACATCCAGCTCCACTGCCTTGCAGCCTGTATCTTGCTGAGACATCTCATCATACCAACCCCTACCATCTCCATCCCGGGCCATCGATACATGTGCTTTTTGCTGGTTTTATTATTACCAACATCAGCATTAGTTTTCATACATTTTTGTTTTATGGTGTTTCCTTTAGGCAGCATGTATGTTTGCCCTTCCTTTCCCATGCTCAGAGCAGCTTGGAGGGGTTAGTTGGACTCAGAAGTGCTGGCTGGCCCAAGGATGGTGGATGTGGGCCATGGGCCAGGTATTGGACCACCACTGAAATGTTGGAGTCAGGAGTTTCCCAATGATATCACTGTCACCAAGGACTGGCTAAATTGGGATTAAAGGTAAAGGTAAAGGTTCCCCTTGACAATTTTTGTCCAGTCGTGTTCGACTCTAGGGGGCGGTGCTCATCCCCGTTTCCAAGCCATAGAGCCAGCGTTTTGTCCGAAGACAATCTTTCGTGGTCACATGGCCAGTGCGACTTAGACACAGAACGCTGTTACCTTCCCACTGAGGTGGTCCCTATTTATCTACTCGCATTTGCATGCTTTCAAACCGCTAGGTTGGCGGGAGCTGGGACGTGCAACTGGCGCTCACTTCGTCGTGTGGATTCGATCCTGCAACTGCTTGGTCTTTTGACCCTGCAGCACAGGCTTCTGCGGTTTAGCCCACAGCGCCACCACGCTCATAATTTAGAAGCTAAATTATCTTGGTCCCAGTCTGATGCTAGCCATTACAGTACAGTAGTTCTCAGTAGCTTCAGCCCTTAAAGCCCCAAACAGCCTGATATCAGGAAGCTCAAAGGAGTGTCTCTCTATCAGGGATAGTTCTTTCTTGGTGGAAACACCTTCATTATCGCTCAGAAATGTTTATCTCATGCTATGTTTAATGTGGAATCATAGACTTTTAGTACGGACTTTAAAAAAGCACCTAGTGAGTGTTGTTAACAACGAATACTGAGATTTGGGATCTCTTCAAAACCAATGACAACATTTTGCAGCACAGTTTTGCAGCCTCCATTTTTAACCATACCACTCAGGCAAAGTTATTTCACGAAAAAGACAATGTTGATTTTGGGTGATTTGTAGGACTCCCTATAAGATATGCCAGTTGCACTTTGTATTTGCACTTTAGTGTTTGCACTTTGGATCAATGTTGGAGCTGGTATAGACCAGACAAGAAGCAAGAGTTCTATAAGCTTGCTCTTGGGGAAGGCCACAGCTGAAACGCATCAAGCCTGAGCTTTTCTAGATAATACAATCTGGATTGCCAATTTTTTTTATACATCTTGAGAGTCAGTCTCCCATTTATATTTTGTCCGAGGTCTTGAGTGAAAAGGATGGAGGGTAAAAATTGGAGTATTCATATATGAATACAAATACTCCCACACAGCTGGATGTAATGAGGGTCTGGCCTCCCAGGGCTGGAACGTCTACTCATGAGTCCACTGACGGTAGTGGTTCCACTCTCCTATCACTCTGGAGCTCCTGGTTGGCTATCCACTCATCAGCCTTGGAGGGAGATTCATCTTCCCTCCTTCCCTGGCTAGCCGACCGGGAGCTCCACAGCAATTGGTAGGGAGACCAGAGCCAGCGCTGGAAGTGGATTGGACCCTTGTTACGTCCAACAGTGTCGGGGTATTCAAATTCATATACGAATACCCGGATCTCTAATGGAGGGTTAAATTAGGAAAATTGATTTGATCTGTCAATCACATCATTTGAGTGGCACTGAAAAATTACTGCAAAATTTTGGCATAGGTTTTGAGGGGATCCCAATTTTAAAGTTTCATAGTAAAAAAGAGTTACTCTCCTATTTTATTCTCTCCATTTGTCAGTGCAGGAACCTGACAAACAGAGCATCATAGACTGGAGGCTATTCAGTTTCTGGTTAAGTTTTCTTCACCAAAGCAGAGGCCACTATCTATTGGGGCAGTCATTCTACTGTTGACCATCTCTTACTACTAGAGCTGTTCTTTTAATTATTTAACTGGAGCCTGTTTCTTTGCAAGCTCAGCCCTGTCAGTTCTAGACCTGCCCTCTGGATTAGAAGAGAACAAGTCTACTTCATGAAGGCCATCCAGATATTTGAGTACATCTGTCAGTTGATTGTGGGCCCAGAACTCATCATGACAGTTACTTAACCTTGTCCCCCCCCCACTAGAGACCCAATATGCAGATAACAAAGCTGTATTCTTGATCTCTGTTGTTGATCTAACTGGCTGGATAGCTCAGTGGTGTAGGTTTCTGGCTGAGGAGTCCAAGGTTAAGAGTTCAATTCCCCACTGTGCCTATAGAGAAAAGAGCTAACCTGTGTGGCCTTGGGCAAGCTACATAGTCCCAGGGTGCCCCCAGAAGTTGTGAATTGTAAACCATTCTGAGTATTCTCTACCTGGAAGACTTTCAAAAGGATCCTAAGTCAGAATTGACTTGATGGCACACAATTCTTATTTTATTTTTGATATGTAGCAAGAAACCAGATTTGGCTGTGTTCTGTGCTACTAGCAACAGATACTTCATAAAGCTAATGAGTTTTAACTGATCACTCAAGATGAATCTGACTCAAGCTTCTTTGCATTCTCGCTCATTACCATGCTTCCTGGGGATTCTGGGATGTGTGGTCCAAAAACTAACTTGCAATCTGCACCCGCAGCAATGTATTATTACCAGTCTCTGTTGTATGTACTACTGTGTTGACACAAATCCTAAAAAGAAAAAAAATGCTTGGCAGATTTGCTCCCATGATGAGCCAAAAGGTGCCTCTGGAGAGCCCACCAGGGCTCATAGCATTGTTCCCACAGTTGCTTGACTCCCAGCAATGTGCAATCAGTTAAATGATGACTCTGAACAGATTCTATGTTCTGTATAACCACAAAGACTAAGAACTATTGATAGGCTTATTCTTTATGAATTTGTTTAATCCTCTTTGAAAGCCATCTAAGCTAGTAGCCATAACCACATATCTTGTGGCACAAAATGCCATAAATTAATTATGCATGGTATATAGAAATACTTCACATTGGTTAATAATAGAACAAAAGGAGATCAAACTAGTTCAAAATAAATGTACATCAGAAATAGGATTGTCTACAAAGAGAAATCTGCGCACATGCAAAGACATTACGTTGTGGATTTTATAACTCCTGGGGCTATTAAAATACTATTGCTTATAGTATCTAGCAGCATTATAGGCCTGTGTGTTTCAAGGAGCATGACATATATTCATTATTAATATCATCAACCATCAGTCAGGTGTGGAGAAGACCTTGGTTTTCCTCCATGTACTGTGGTGTCTGCTCTACATGCTTCAGCTCTCTTGACAATGAGGTGTGAAGGTGAAAGGTGAACACCTCTCTTTCCACTTCCCATAAATGTACAACAGCTGAAAGCATGGTTTATTTTTCCATTATTGCTGTGCTGGACCCATGAACAGACCAAACAGAGCAGTTAATCTAGACTACGTATTGTTCTATACTTTAAAAAAAAGAGAGCTAGGGACAAGAAAATAGTGTAAGCCTAGCCGATTTACTTTTACAGTACTTCTTTGCTGATGATCATGAGGCTGAACTATTTCTTAATCTATTCTTTTAGTAACTGGCAATCAGATGTTTTGCTGCTTGGGGCAAAGGAGAAAAACAGCATGTTCAAAATTTTATTGCATAACAGGACTGGGCTGGGAGTTTGGTCTCATTTCAGCCCTGAAATGGGAGCCCCACCACAACTGAGGGCAATGGAAGTGGCAGCCGGGTCGCATAGCACACATATTTTCTAACAACCTGGAACTTCTCCCTGCCCCCTTCATCTGTCACCTAAGGCAACCTTATCCATTAGGCTTAATACTGCCAGACCAGCACACCTGGTGCCCTTGTTTTAATCCTCTGAGGTAGCGGGGTGATATGCTGATCTTCCTGGTCAAGCCTGGGTCATCCAGGTCTCAGTCTGACTAACATGGCTACACCGCACCAGCTCTCAAGCCAACTGTAGTAAGAGAGAAGTTGAGTTGGTCACTTTTCTCCTGGACAATCGGAACTGGACACCCCTCAATTGAAACAGGATGGTTCCAAGATGCTATGATTGACCTTGTATGGTATGAAATCACCGAGAATAAAGTGATCAGTGAGACAGGAAAGGCTTCATGTCATTCTCTGAGGCCCTGCGCCTCTCACAACTGGTGTGAAACCACCAGCAGGACGTTGCTCTTGTCTTCCCATGTCTTGCCGGTGGGTCTTTCCACAGGAATCTGGTTGGCCACTGTGGGAGCAAATTCGTGGAGTGCAGTAAGCTTTTGGTCCGATCCATCAGGGCTCAAGAGGCCATGAAGAATGACTTGGGGGCAAAGGGTGCCCTGTCAGGTTGTCAGAATCCTAGCATTCTTTGGGGAGAAAAAAAAGCTTTTTTTCTTCTTCTTGTTGTTGTGAATATCATGCCCCAGGATTCTGAAGCCAGCCTGACCATGGGCCCTGCTGACTAGAGGTTTGTGGGGAGGTGTCGTCCAAAAAGGAACGTTTCCAAATTCTGGGATGGAGAAGAAGAGGAGCAGCAGCAGCAGCAAATGCAAGAGGTCAACGTTAGCCGGCGCCTCCACTGCTGCAACCCCAGGTCTCTTGCAGCCTGATGGAGCCCCTTCGTTCTTCTCTCCCCTCCACTCCGGACTTGATCCTCTTTTCTCGTTAATCCTCATTTGCCGCTCGAGCTTGCCCCGGCGTTGCGAAACTTAGCCTTCTAAAAGATAAGGATGCCTATAATAACTGCGCGGTCGCCGTTTGTTAAGGGATTTCTGCCTCGCCGGTGGGGGGAAAAAAAGGGGGAAACTGAAGCTCTCCCTCCCGCCGGCACCTTCCCTTCTCCGCTTCCGACCTCGGCGGTGGTACAACCCACGCGAGGAGGGACACCGGCCCCTTCGCGAGCGCCGCCTCCGCCGCCGCCGCCTCCTTCTCTCCCTCCTCCCCCCCGGGAAAAAAGCCACTTGGTACGTTCTGCTTTTGCCTGCCAGAGCTGGAAGGGGAGCGAGCAGCCGGAGTTGCACCCTCGCGCCTCGCTGGAGGAGAGCGAGCGAGCCTCATTGCTGGACCACTCCCTGAAGATGATGAGAAGCGCCCCGGGAGCTGGGACGCGCCTCTGTGACCGGCTGTGATTGCGCCCCGGGGTGGCCCTTGGGACGGAGACCGACCGACCTCCCGCGCTTGGACTGTCGTCTGAAGGCGATGTCAGGACCCGAAGCGCACAGTCACAACCGGAGGCTGCCCTGTAAGTCCGTCCTTCGGCTTAGGTGGTGCGTGTATGTGTGTGTTGTGTTGTGTTAGGAGCCTGAAGGGAGGCTGATTCTTCGGCACGGGAACAGGGAGAAGGCCAGGACTTTAGTCCGTCCTTCGGCTTAGGTGGTGCGTGTGTGTGTGTTGTGTTGTGTTAGGTGCGTGAAGGGAGGCGGATTCTTCGGCGCGGGAACAGGGAGAAGGCCAGGACTTCTCTCTTTTTACCTCTCTTCTCAACTATCAGTAGGCATTTCTGTGAAATGGGTCCAGCCTTCTGCACTGCTTGTCCGTGAGTGGAGACAGGCGATGTACACCATCAGCATAAGAGCAACGAACAAGGGCATGATTCTTACTCACTGCCATGATTTTTTTTTCCTGAGCAGAGGACTTGCAGGATTAAACAGCACCTCAGTGCTGAGGACCCACCCTAGATTCCTCCCCATGCTTAGGGTTCAACTGTGTTAGTTTTCCTTCCACGTATACAGGTGGGAAAAAAGGTGTGTTTTTTAGTCCCAGAGAAGAGCAGCATTCAGAATGAAAACATCTTATCCTGGTTTGCTGCGGGAAGCACAGGCATATGGACTTGGTAAAATGGACATCAGTTCACCCTAAGTAGATGGAAGCTGCCCCTGGAACAGCTTAGAGGATTCACACCTCTTTGTAATGATCAACAGCTGGGAACTATCCCGAGCCATGGTCTTGTAATTATAGTCCCTCATTAGTATTGTGTTGTCATGCAGACAGCAGCCACAGCATTCCTTTCCTGAGCCAAGCCGAGCTGACTCACATGCCTGCATTGTCTCTTTTATTTCACACATTCAAACAGGATCTGTTTGGCAAAGCATTACTGTACTTGACAAAACACACACCTGTCGGCTTTGGACTTTGCACCTCCTCTGTTCTGTCCCCTCCTTGTTCACATGCTGTGCTTCAGCAAAGGTAGATCTGGGTGACTTTTCTCATTGGCACTGATTGGCCTGTGAAGTCTTGCAGAGGCTTCGGTCTCTGTCCATACTGTGTTTATGGATAAAATGGATAGATTTGTTACTTTCTGACAATCATGGGCAGCGTCTAGGGCTGGCCCAGGGCATGTAGCTACCTAAGGCAAAGGATTAAAATGGTACCTCAGAACCCATTTCATGCTTAGAAGCCAACTGAAGCAATATTTTAATATTTGGATGCTTGTGAGCACTCTCCGCCATAGCTGAAACAATAATGTAATGTAGAGGGCCCAACTCAGTCTCATGTGTTCTCTGTTTTATGAGAATGAACAAGGTGGGGCCCCAGAAAGAACAACTGGGCAAATTGTTGCCTGAGATCATTTGCTTCCTTTTGCCTAATGGTAGGGCTAACCTTAGCACCGTTTCTCCCTCTGCCTCCACTGTCACTATTACATTTGAAAATGCTTAGTTCCAGAAAAGGAGAAACTATAGCTCCAGTCGGGAGATGAAACTGGCATGTATATTTGGATTCATCTGGAACAAGATATAGATCCTTGTTCCCATTAGATCAGTCCTTGAATTCTGATGGGGGAAAGATAGAGAAGACCTTAATGAAACTGTCCAGGCCCACCTCCCATTTTAACCACACTCTCCTTTACAGCCAGAGCTAGTCAAAGGCATGTTGCTGCCTGAAGCAATGGGCAAGATGGTTCCTCCCTCTATTCTGTGCATAGTAGCAGAGAATACAGGCAAGTGAGCCGTACTTCATTACTGGCAATGGGATAGGATCCTCCATTACAGCCAAGGGGAGCAGGCTAATACTTGTAGGACTGACTGTATGACAAGCAATTGTGTCTTGCAAGAGAGAAGAATGGCAAGAGGATGAGTTTCATCTTCCGTCACTATTCGTTTATTTGCAGCCCGCTCTTCAGTTCTGATGTATTCACATGACTCCCCTACACAACACACTTTATACTTTGCCAATGCCCTGTTCCTTTGCCACAGAAAGCCCCCAAACTGCCCTGATCCTTTCACACTCAATCATGCTGTCTTGGGCTCCCCAACTCCCAATGCATTCCACACGTATTTTGACCCTTAATATAGATATGAAAACCTGTTTTTTCTTTAAAAAGAAAATAGCTAAATATAGATGAAACCCTTTAAAAAGTGCTGTGTAATGAAATGCAAAGATGCATCAAACATTATGCCCAGCTGGGTCCTTATTCTATTCTGGTTGTTAGAGTGTCCATCATTGTTCAGCTCAGGTGAGCTAGAAATCCAGTTGAACTCTCTTCCTGTTCAGGCTGAGGGCCTTCTTCCAGAAGAATAGGCTGCAAACAGCACTTCAGTAGCAGTGCTTCTGAGGAATCCACTCCCTGTTTTGTTCTCTAGAGGAAAATAGCTGAGCCTGAAAGGGCTGCAGACACTTCTGCTGCTGCATGATGATGGTGGGAAGAGAGATTTTGGGAGCACCCCAGAAATCTCTTGGAATGGACTGGCTGAAAACTGGACTGCCAGAATTCATCAAAGACTCCCATAAAAATACTCTGCTGAGCCTTCCTGTGGGAGATGATACTGCAGCAAAAGCGTAAAATAATCCAAACCACTTTGAGAGGAAGTCCAGAATGGGAAGGCAGGGAAGGAAAGAGGGAGGGAGGGAAGAGAGGCAGTGGTTTTGGCAGGGAGTTGAGAGAAAGAGCCTGGGGTGAGGAGGTGGTACCCCGTGACCCTTCTCTCTGTCACAAATTCATAATAAAACCTAGACTAGCCAATCTCCAAATCCCTGGAGTCTCAGAGCTAAAAATAACCCCCCTGTCCATGGCTCTCTCCCCAGCCGAGACTACATCATAAGACCCTGCTATTTACAGGGCTAGGAGTTGCTTTATATAGCATTGAGAGTAGGATAAAATCCATGAGTATATTAGTGAGGATGACAGGAGGACAAGAGGCTTTCGAAATACACCAAGGACAACAAACAGTGGCCGTGTCTATGTAATGTTTTGTCCACAGTGAGCAAAGTCATCATTCCTGCCTAGTTCAGCCAGAAGGACTGTTTTGCTACCATGAAGAATGTACTGTACAGTGTGTGTGTGTGTGTGTGTGTGTGTGTGTGTGTCTCTGTCTGTCTGTCTGTCTGTCTGTGTGTCTGTGTCTGTGTGTGTGTGTTTTGAGAAGATACTTCCTGAATCTTGCTGCTGTCTTAATGGTCTCTCACAGGCCACCGGAACAAATTTAATGTGGATTAAACCAATGGCTTAAAGACAGTGCTTAAATGACTGTGGGTGTCTGAGCTCAAGCTTGGATGCAACCACATCTTTTGAGGATGAATCCCTGTCACTTTAGCTCAAATGCATGATGATAGATGGAGTGAGGGAAAAGGCAATCTGCATATGTTCAGAGGAACTGTTCTCTCCAGTTGCCCTAGAAATGCGGAACACTATAGGTTCACTAATGTTCATGCAGTAAATGCAGAACTTCCTGGTGAAATTCATGACGGGGGTTAATTAAGCTTAAGAAACTTAGTTATGAGTTGTTCCTTAAGTGATCATTTCTGGACTACATACGTCTTGGAATGCATTCTACTACTGTATATCTCTTTATAATAAGACACAGAATTACAGTATTGTTCTCTAATGTAATTTCATAATTGCTTCTTGTAATTATGGAATTTGCTCCCAGATGCAGAATCTACTAAATTCTAGGAAGCTTAGTGTCACTGTTTTTCTTCCTCATCTTTTTAAAGCACAATTCCAGCTGCTGCAGTTTTAAAGATAAACTTGAAAGTGTTTGTTCATTGCCTTGGGCAATCTCAGAAGCCCAAAGTGGCCAGAGTAAGATTTCCTGCGGATATATATAGAGTCTTCAATGCCTAGCTTAGCTTTTTGCACCTTCTCATGAGCAGCAGAAACAGAATAAATTATGTAAAATAAGAAATACGTGCAGATATGTACCACTTATATAATTCAGCTTTTCCTGGTACAGAATTTGCATATGGAAACCCAATTGCTTGTACAGAACTGTGGGCTTATCACTGTCACTTTTCTTGGAGGTTAATGGTTTTAAACACCGAGTTCAGTGTAACACAGCAGCTAAGAATATGAAAAGCCTAAATCTCACCTTAGCCATGTATTTGCATAGTGACCCTTATGCACATCATTGTCACTGAACCTCAATGACCATCTGCAATAGGAGGATAACAACTGTGGGGTTGTTCTAAAGATGAGGGTTCTTAGTGTAGTTCTTGGAGTAAAGTCTTTGGCATGGTATTCTCAAGATGTGTCCTATATTAATGTCATTGTCTAGAATAACAGTAGGCTAGGAATGATGGTTGTTGTAGCCCAACATGTCTGGTGAGTGTACATTTGGGGAAAGCGGCACTAGATGATTAGATCTACTGCTGTGGTCTGGAAGAATTATTGTCGATGTTGCTATTTGCACTGGTGCCTATAGGGAATCCCACCCCATTCCAAAAATCAAACACCAGCTTCAAATTTGAAGCTTTCTTTTTTATTTAAAAATAAACTGCCTATTAAATACAATGATATAGTATGGGTTGGCCTAACTTGGTATGAAAATACAGATCTATGTAATCTGTCAGAAGCAGAAAAGTTTGGGCTACCTGGGTCTGTTAAAACCTGGTCAGGTTGTTTATAGCTCTCCTGGGACATGGAGGAAGAAACAGCAGAAACAGGAGGTTATTTAGGTAACGCTTCTTTGTGCAATGAATGGTTTAGAAGCTCAGATACCCAAGGAGCCATCGCTTTTAGATTAGGAATATTGACTTCTTCTAACCTAAATATCTAAGTACTGGTTTGGTCAACATTTCTCCCTTGAATTGCAGGGGTCAGAGCGGCTTTGGTTATAGGTGGATAAAATAAATATTTTTAAAAATAAATATTCAGTGAATACTGTGCTGCTGTTCGTCTTCAGGAAGTGGCCTAAGCAAGGTGGGTCATGGATATACCGAGGCCTCTGTTGGTGGTGGTGCTGTGGTCCTGAGTCTGATGACAAGCGGCCTGGCTGGCTTCTTCTCCTGGCATGGCAGCACCACATG